CTTTGCCCCCTTGTTTTTGACAGAAATTCTGGTCACTTCTGGATTTTTTACAATTAATAGCACTGCTATGATAAACAATTATAACTATATTAATTATGCATATAGACTATGACTTTAATATGCACAAGTGCATTACATATATATTACTTAATATTCATTTTCATGAATAAATATAGACCTATAACATCACATTAATGACTATTCATTGTTTATTGCACAGAAAGAACTAATTTGTTTAACCAATGCCCAACTGTTGTGCATTTGTGTTGCGTTTCAATTTTCCTCTATAATAAATAATGGAGTTGAACACCTGTCTACTTAAATCTTTGTGCATTAGCCAAATTTATTTTTGCTTTTATTATTAAGAATAGGCACTTCGTCTAAGGGCCTTGCTGCCGCTAGAGCCATATTGATCCAAGTGGCCTGTGCTACCTCCAGGCCCACGGTGATGCCTAGTCTGAGCTGCTGCCATGGGCCATGTTTGGCTCTATGGTCCTGCTGCAGCTGTGGTCTGTGGTACTTCCATGGCCTGTGTTGCCACAGGCAGTCATAGGAACCATGTGTATTGAAATCCAAGGGCCTTGGCCCTAGGATAGCTGCCCCACATACACTAGGGAGAGATGGTTCCACCACTCACCATGAACATGGGAGAGCATTTGATGTCATGGGTCTAGGAGAGCTGGCTCTGCCCCTGCCTAAAAGGGGTGGTCCCAGTGACGTGGACCAACCATTTCAGCTTCCACCTAGACCCACATCCTGGGTCTTGGGTGCCCACCCTGATATCTACCCCATCTATGGCCTTATGGAGTGAGTGAAGGTACTGGTCCTACAGAACGATAACCACAGGATTCCCATGACTTGGGTCAACAAAAGGATATCAGAGAAGCATTTTGGTGAGGGTCTAGTGATAATGGTGTGCCAGAAGCCTTGAATCAAATCAATGATGTGTTGTAATGAACATTTTGCAACTAGGGCTGGTTGGATAGTAAGGCATCCTTGGTGACACACCACAGTTCCTGATGCCACTAGGATGAATGGAGAGGTATTGGAAAGACGGAGGATTGAAGTGGTTTGTTTTGCTTTATTTTTTATTGATTTGGGGGGAAATGTTGAAGGGATGAGGAAGGGATATGGAGGAACTGGGAGGTTAGTGGAATTGTGAGTACATGATGGGAAATTTCCAAAGAATAAATAGTTATAGTTAAAAAAAGAATAGACAGTTTTTTAAAGGAAGTAACAAAATGTTAATTTTGTCCTCCATATTTGCCAAACAAACATTCTCAGATATGATAATCTGGGGAGAAACCATGTGGGTAGATGGTTTCCTAATTATGTGTCTGTTGTGTTGGGCAAGATAATGGTCTCAACTGTATTGGTGTCCTAAGGTCTCAAACCTGTAAATGTCACATTTTACAGAACAAAACAGCTACAGAAGGGATGGACTTAAGGCTGCTAATCAGGTGCCCTACATAAGGGATGGGGGATATCTGGAGTCCAGTATAATCACAAGAATCCTTAAAATTGGAAGAGGGAGACAAAAGAGAGTCAGGGGAGGTATGATTAAGTTTGGATAGTCAAAGAGATGTAATAACCCTGGCTTTAAAGATGAAGGCAAGTGTCCAAGAGACAGGGAATGTACAATGCCTCAAGAAAGTGGAAAAGCAAGGAGAAATCACACTCTGGCTGGGAGCCTCCAGAAGGAACCAGCTCTCTAGACCCTCCAGACATCCTGATCTTAGCTCAATGAGGAGGACATCTTACCTCCAGAAGTCCATAATATAGTTGAATTGTTTAAAGCAACCAAGTTAATGTTAAACAGTTACTATGGCAATAGGAAACTGATACACTCATGAGAGTGAGTTGTTGGTCAAAGATGGTTCTTACTCCTAAAGTCCCTGATTCAGTAGTCTACTGACAAGTTAAGGTGTATGTATATTCAGCAAGCCCCTTGGTGGTACCTCTGCCTCCAGTAGGGGTTTGGGGTGGGGGTGGCGCTTGGTGTGGATAACTTGAACCTGTGGAAGAACTATCTCCTGTTTTGTATAGTCACTTTCTAGTTTGGAAGATGATCTAGGAAGGTGGTTGAAGATATGGCTGGGAACTAAGTTGAGGTACTACTTTGACATTGGCCTTAGCTCTACTTCCCGAGTGACAGAGTTGTTCAGTCTGTCTAACCCATGTTTCCAGCTTGAGTAGGAACTCCTTATCATATTGAACACAATGACCATCTGTTCAATGAGTCTTGAGTGTTCTGTCTGTTATCTCTCAAGGTATTTGTGTTAGCTGGAGGCTCCAGAATACAGGCCTGTGAGAGGTTTGTGAGGGTTTGATAGGTAACAGCTGCAGGGAAAACAGGAACTGAAGGAGATTTGAACAGGGACTTTGACCACGATGCAGGACTAACAAAAATCTTGACCATCTCGCAGGGATTTTGGAATAGATGTTGCCCATTGGAGAAGTCCCAATTGTGCAGAAGGAGCAGTAGTCCTACAGTTGTTGGCTAGGACATGCATGCCCTTAGACAGCCTTCTCAGTCTCTGCGATTGAGTGGAAAATTTTGTTTTAATTTTTTACATGTATTTACATTTGTTTAAAAATAGCATCTCGTTTTAGCCTAGACTAGCCTGGAATTAATTCACTATGTAGCCCAGGATGGCAAACATTTCATGTCAGCTCCTCCTGTGGCAGCTTCCAGAACCACTGCCCCCTCATGGTTTCTGAGACAGGGTTTCTCTGCGTAACAGCCCTGGCTGTCCTGGAACTCACTGTAGACCAGACAGGCGTCAAACTCAGAGATCCACCTGCTTCAACCTCCCGAGTACTGGGATTAAAGGTGGGTGCCACCTTTGTCTAACCTTCGTAGAATTCTTGACTTCAAGTAATACTACTGTTTCAGTCTCTCTAGAAGCTTCCTCATTTTCCTGTGTTGGTAATAAAGGCATGTGGTACCACCACCCAACCCAACCCAGATAATCCCACTTCAAAGGATGATCCTGGTTACATCTCTCTATGTTTGCCACATTTCTCTTCTCTGTTCTTCAGTCATCCAGACCTTGCCACTTTCTTTGAGACTCAGTGAACATTTGCTGTTAGATCTTGTAGCTGCCACATTTATTTCAAAAGACAGGCTCTCATAGCTGTAAATGACCTTAGAGCTCAACTTATTTTACACCTGGGGAAACTAAGACTGCTTAGGTAGGGAAAGGGATCATTGGATGAAAGTAAATAATTCAAGATGGCACAGCTAGCTATAAAGAAGTGACCAGAACTCATGTGGCCCAACTCTTAGAAAAAGCTAGCAATCACATTAAAAAATCTTTTCATTTTTATTTTGTTTTGAACAAAGTTCAAGTTTATTAAGAATAAGCATTAAAGTTGGATGCCATACCTCCTACATGAAATTTCACCTCTTGGGAAGTAGAGACAAGTTTTCCCTCCCTCCACTCCTCCAAGTTGCACCCCACCTTGCCTCTCCCCCAGATCCACTCCTTCTCTGCTTCCCTTCAGCAAAGAGCAGACTTCCGAAAACAAGTTACAATAAGACTGGACACAAACCCTTGTATCTTGGCTGAATGAGGAAATCCAGCACGAGGAAAGGGTCCCAAGAGCAGGCAAGAGTCAGAGACAGCCCTACAAGAACACCAAGCTGTAACTTATATGCAGAGTGCCTAGGTCAATCCCATGAAGGCTCCCTGATAGTCAGTTCAGTCTCTGTGAGCTCATATGAGCCCTGCTTAGTTGATTCTGTGGGTTTCCTTGTGATGTCCTTGACCCCTCTGGTTCTCACAATCCTTCCTCCCACTCTTCCCTAGGATTCCTGAGCTCTGCCTAATGTTTGGCTGTAGGTATATGCATCTGCTCCCATCAAGATGCTGGATGAAGCCTCTTTGATGATGATTATGCTAGACTCTGGTCTACAAGTATAGCAGAGTATCATTAGGACTCACAGGACTTTTGCTTTCAAGTCATGTCTGGTTCTATCCTAGGTCTCTGGGATGTTCATCCTCTGGTTCCTGGCCATCTCGGCAATGTCAAGCATGGGTTTCCTCTTGTGGCATGGGCCTCCAGTTGAACCAGTCATCTGTTGGCCACTCCTACAAGTTCTGTGCCATCATTGCCCTAGCACGTCTTGCAAGATGACTGAGAAGAGTGGAAGAAGGGGAAAACAGTCAAATTGTAATGCATGAGAGAAGAATCAAAGAAAGATAATAGTCTTTGATCCTTTTTGTTTTGTTTTTGCTTTTGTAGAGATAGACATCATTCAAATATGTGAAAATTCCCAGCCCTCTTGAAGCACTTTTAGCATGTAAAGGTCAGAAATGGGTGTTTGTTACAGAGTGAGGGCCAAGGTAACTGCTGAGTTAGAGCCCACCAGGTTGCTAGCAAATATTCCCAACTGTAGAGAGATGTGAATAAGGTTTCTAAGACCCAGCCCTACAGAACTTCACACACCATCAAGACTGATCGATCTGATGGGAAACTGCCACTTCCTGTCCCCCTTTCCCACTCAACTAGCATGCCACCAGATTATCAATGAGTACACATATGAGGCCACACACAGTACAAGGGGCCCAACTACCCATTCTATATGCATAAATAATGGTATATATTTTGTGAGGGGGTAGGGTGGATCATTTTTAAATTGCAAAAGTAAAATGGTAAAGTAAATGAAAAAAAAGGTTCTTTGGAAGTCATGTGGGCACCAAAAGACAGGATAGATCTAGAAGTCTAAATCAAAGATTAAACAGCAATTAATCTGGACAAGGATTTGCCTATGTGTCAGAGGGGTATGTGGTCTCCTGGTAACAGGAGTTCTTTTGCTCCCACCCCCTTAATTGAAGTAGGAAAATTGTCAGCTGCTTGTATTTTTATTCAAAGGTAAGTTTCAGGGATGTGTAGCTGAATGAAAATGCCAATCTCAGGATTTTTAGGAAGTTGAAATGAGATAGTAGGTGGCAAAAATCAACCCAAGACAAAAAGAAAATCCTTAGAATACAAACTAGGAGCATCAGAAAACAGCATAGCTTTATTATTCTTCACCCTCTGGAATGTTGCATAACAGAAAGTATGTCATGGATGGGGAACACTGATGGCAGGGACTTCTGGGTTTTCATGTGGCAGGTACCCAGGTCACACAAATATAATGCTATCTACCAGCCTGGGGAGATGAAGCAAACCTCACCTTATCCCTCCAAATGAACAAAAACTACTGTGGGTATCTGCATAGATGACCCCAACAGTTCAGTGCTTAAAAGAAAGCCACTGTCACCCAGATATTGCTAACTCTGTGCTCCAAGATGGACATACATTGTGGAAACTACTTAAGGTCCTTGAAGAGGCCACAAGGTCCCAAGGTCTAATTTTGCACCTATTGGGTGTCAGGTGCCATGGTCCTTATATTCAGAGCAAGGCATGACAGAAACTCATGGAAGTGCAACCAAGAAATGCCCTGAATCTTCTAGAATAAGTTCTGTTCCAACAGCAGACTCATGCTGGAACAAGGGACTTTGTTCAATTTCTGTCACAGAGTTCTCAACAATGCCCCTTGGAATCAGTCAGCTAGAACTGAAGAACTAAATTTTCTAAGCAAGCTATTTCATTGAACAGTCCAGATTGAGGTTTTCTAGCTTCTCTCAAGAGTCTAGAGTCTAGACATTGGAGATGGACAGAGTCAACAGCCTCAACCAGTCTCTATTGTGGAGGGGAGTCTTTTGCATGCCATTTTTATTTGGCTTTTCTCTGAGGCTGGGGTGAGGTTGACTGCAGTCTGGCTTAAGCTGGAACGTTCTTGGGCTGAATTGGTCCCTTGACATAGAAAATCCAAACAGCCTCAGAGAATCCCATGGGCTCAGGTTTGGTTTAAAGGACACTAGTTGAGAACCTGAGAGTCCATAGCTTCTAAGGAAAAGGGTAGTAGATGCAGTGAGGCAGAAAATGAACAACAGGTGGATCTCTGTGCATCTCACCCTACAAATAACTCTTTCCTACATTTTATAAGCTGAGAATGTGCTTGGGTTTGAATACCCCTGCTATCAGGCACAGTTGCTAAGGAAAAGTAGAGCAAAATTTAAAAGAGAACAGAGACTTGTGCCTGATTTCTTAGCAGCAGGGACAGAAAGTGACAGTGATGCCCCTAGGACTTCTGGATCCACCGTAGAAAAGCATGATCATGCTGCGCAAAAAGGAATTCTGTTCTTCCAACCAAGCCTAATAATAGTAGAGATCTCTTCTTCTCTCTGGAGACTGGCTTCCTGGAAAACAGGGTAAGTGTAATGGTGAAAAAACTAGTTTTAGAATAAACAGAGCATCTGGGCATGGTGGTCAGTGCCTTTAAGCCCAGAACAGGTAGGTGGATCTCTGTGAGTTCGAGGCCAGCCTAGTCTACAGCTTTAGTTCCAGGACACCCAGTAATATTACACAGAGAAACCCTGCCTCAAAAATAAAAGTATCAAATGAGCCCAGATGTGAGTCTAGGGTTGCCACTGCCTAGCTATGTGTCCTTAGGCCACTTCCTTGGTCTGTCTGAACTCTACTTTCCTCATGTTGAACGTATATATTAATAATGAGTGCTTCTTAAGATTCTAGTATAAGACAATATCACTAGCAGATACCATCATTTCTATTTCTTATCATACCTTCTTCACATTCCGTTTCTTTGGTTCAATGTGTGGAATCTCGGAAAACAAACAAGAAACAAAACCCTACCATGCTTACTGAAAGCCTGATTGTCTATGGCCTTGATTTTTAACTGTATCATCCTTTTTCATCCTTAAATCTAAATTATGTACTTCATGAACTATGCTATGATATCATTTGCAAAAGAAAAATCTTTAAGATAAGGAAAACAATTCCACCAATTGTTTATGCATTTTGTTTAATTTTAAAATAACTTAATTTTGACCTTTATATGCTCAATCCTCAACTCTTGTTTCAAATTGCATCCTTTTATCAATACCACTTAAAGTACCATAAAATCATATGTGTGTGTGTGTGTGTGTCCTTACACCTTACACAAATCCAACACATGTATTTCCCCTTAGCTCTACTTAACACACTTGCTAACTTTGCTTCTGAAATTCTTTTCTGGGATGTGGTTGAGGACATTGCTATACTGGTATAGGAGTCCCTAAGGCAGGGAAAGACTGGCTACTGATTGCAACCTGGAGTATGTTGTCCTGCTGCCAAGGTCACTCACAACACAACTAAGCTCATCTGAGCTCAGGGACTATGCTGGTGGTTCTTATTTTTGTTCTTTGAGTAACTTTGGGATATAAAATGCTTTCTAAAAAGTCCCATGTTCTTTGCTTTTGATTCTGTTTTATGTTAGAGATAAACCCCAGGGCCTCTATCTGCTAAGAAAATACTCTGGGCCAGCAATCTACTACTGAGCTGTGTTCCTGAGACACTTTATATTGCTTCAATGGCTAGCTATATGTCTTAGTTAGGGTTTCTATTGCTATGGAAAGACACCATGACCATGACAACTCTTACAAAGGACAACATTTCATTGGGGTGGCTTACAGTTCAGAGGTTCAGTCTGTTATTGTCATGGCAGGGAGCATGGTGGCATGTAAGCACATGTGGTGCTGGCTAATCTTGATCAGAAGGCAACAGGAAGTACACTGTCTCATTGGAAAAAGCTTGAGCATAGAACACCTCAAAGCCTATTTCCACAGTGACACACCTCCTCCAATAAGGTCACACCTACTCTAACAAAGCCACACCCTTTGGGGGCAATTTTCTTTCAAACCACCACATTATAGCTAAGTATTATTCTAAGCATCCACATACATCATTTCATTAAGTTCCCACAGAACCCTTACATGGAAGTCACTTTATTTATTTATTTATTTATTTGGGCTTTTCAAGACAGACTTTCTCTGTGAAGCCTGTGATCACTCTTTTTATGGTAGTCTTATAAATAAAGCAACTAAGGCATGGGGAAATTCACAGTCTGTGAGCAAGTTCCTGAGACTAGTAAGTATCAGAACTGGAATTGGAACCTTGGACTTAGTTAGGCTTCTCTTTCCTTTCTACCCAAACTGTCCTCAGTTGGGAGCTTCTAATTTCAAATTTAGAGTAAAGTCCAGGTTCGTGACCTTGGGCCTCAGACACATTTTCCCTGACTGCAGATTCAGTCCTGGAGTGGCCGAAAGCTGAGCATCTGGAACAGCTAATCCTCATGGATTCATTCATATCAGTGAGTCACCTTGACTGGGCCGGACACGTCAGATGAGAGAATTCAGCAGAGTTGCTTCTCTCACCAAAAGAGAGCGTGTTCAAGAAATTTCTCAAAACACACAGTGCATATTCGGACTCTTTGAAACTGAGATGTAACCAATGCTATCTATGAAAACACTAATAGTGGAAACAACACTCCCAGAAGCTTCTGGAGACTCTGGTTGCTATAGTACACACTCTTCATGTTTGTTTTCAGGGCACAGTGCTACACTGTGGAAGTCTGACCCCTTTACTTACTTTCATTGCCAAGACTGGGACTGGCAGATCCATGACCATAGATTTTCTTATCTAGAGAAGAAGAAGAAACCATGAATGGAAATGAAACCTTGGGCATGGAGCCTGTAGCACCCCATAGATCCCAGATTGCTTGCCCCTCACTTTATGAACACAAAACATGATTTCTCTTATCAAATGCTGTAAACAGAAGATTCTGCCCAAAAATATCCTTTGGCAACTTCTTCCCATCTCCCAGGCAAAGCTGAAGGATTTCTAACTTACTTAGTGAATTCTGGAGTATCAGACACCAGAGAATACAAGCAATGTCAACATTGGTAGGGGATTGTAAAGTGTTCCTCCAGTTGACTTAGATAATAAACATTTTTGTGAACGTTTGTAGCAGTCTTGGGAATAGACAACACCTGCATCATTCTTTGGCCCTGATGTGCCTTGCTTATAGTAGATGCTCACTAAAGGTTTGTAATTGGATTGGAACTATATAGAACTGTTATGTTGGAAAAATGCTGATTTGAGCCATCTGCTTTCTAAGCAACTGTTGAAACAGAATTCTTCTGTGTATATAAATAGGTATACGTATAAACACAGTTGGTCTCATTTTCCTTTTGAATCCAGTAGAATATTTTGAAAAAGAAGATAGGAGTATAAATTTTCAGAAGTTTCCTAAGCATGCCATTTGCATGACTTCTTCTCTCTATACATAGTTAATTAGACTATGGAAATAGTGAGGTCCTGTTTTAAAGGGAAATTTGTTCTCAACGTGGGTCATAGTGTCAGACTTTGTGGGCTAGGCTGAATCGGCCCTTTGTGGGCTGTGTGCTTAATCACAGCAAGGAGAACATCCAGTGATGTCCTTCAGGTGTGAAACAGCAGATATATGTGGATTGGAAAGTTGTGAAAGAAAATAATTCACCCCGGTACAGTATGCTAGAGGATGAGTCTTGGCTTCATGAAAGAGTATGATATACCTATTAATGCATCTCACAAGAAAGGCGAATCTTATGACAGAGTGCATCACTATTTTGGTGAAAGTATAATGCACTCAGTTCTCCCCCATCTTTAAAAAACAGTAACAACGAAGGGAAGCTTGTTCTCTGGTGAGTATTTTGAGTCTAGCAGCCACTGATTGGATATATATTGGGTGAGTGAGTGAAGAAAATGTGGGCAAGCCTGGAGGCTGATTTTTGTGCAGGGGGAGAAGAAGTAATTATGGTGCAGAGACCCAAAGGAAAGTGAGCCCAGTGTGCAGGAGGCAGTCACAGACAGCCAGACACTGTTGCATCTGCAGTCAGCTATGGGGCTGCCTCTCCAGCTGCTTTGAATTTTAATGTGTGGAGCAGATGGTTGGTATAGATTGTCCTTGTTTTTGCCCAGGAGTCTGGCATCATTGCAAGTTGTCAACCTGTTTGGAGAACAGAGTTTGAGCCGGTAGATACGTCATTGAGCTCTGTTTTGCAAATAGGTTATTCAGTGGAGTGGAGGTAAACATGAGACTCTATGACTTTAGGCATAAGCCCATCATTTTTTCTAGGACAAAGCCAAGTCAACAGACTGGGGGATTATTTCAGGCCAGGGCTGCCTGTCTGATTGTCTCCTTTAACCATTAAACTGTGTATGTCAATGTGGCCTAGTGAAAATATATGGAAGTTTTAAGTAAAATATGCCTCTGGGCAGCAGCCTTATCTATGTCCAGAGTGGCAGTAGTTAGTCTTAGTCCCTCATGTCATGCCAATTCACTGTCAACAACAATGTCCTCGTAAGTATCTGTAGGCATTTCCTTACAGTGGTCTGAGTTGGGAGGCAAGTTCATGTGCAGTCCTGTGCTTCCAACTATCTTGGCATGGTTGCAGTTCTCCCTGGGGGCAGGTTCCAGAGGACGGTTTAGGTATCTATCCTGATGGAGTAAATGCAGGAGGGACCCAGGTCTCCCATCAGGGTAGACCTCTGGATCCGGATGCCTGTCAGGAAGGGCATGAGAGTAGGTCGGCTCTAAGAAATCTTCCCTCTCTAGGGAGGAAAACTGCCACATCTCTTGAGGATGTGCAGAAGGTGTCTTGGGCATAGACAGTGGGCACTGATCTATAGCCTTAGGACCACATTCATCCAAGCTGCTGCTGCTGGCACCATTTACAAGAGACGCTTCTGGCCGTGGTTTTGTCCAAGAAGAAGTGAGACGCCACTGATTCGGGGGCATGCTGCTATCTGGAAAAAGATTCAGATGTTATGTTAAGTATTTTCTACAAATGTCCAAAATAGAAGTAATTTGTTGTTTCTGACTCACGTATTATACATAATTTATTTTTATTATTTGTTTGTGAAAGAATGGTGTATTTATAAGTGCCAGAGAATGGCCATAGCGGAGGTAAAAAATAACTTTTAGGAGTTAGTTCTTTCCTTCCCTGATGGGCTCCAGGGATTGAGCTGAAGTCAACAGACTTCCTTGGCAAGTGGTTTCAGCCACTGAGCAATCCCTTCAGCCCCACAGTGTATTTTTTGACTTGAAGTAAGCAGAAAAGGTTTTGTAAAACCCTCATTAACCACAGTGTCCGTAAATAGCTACGGCCCCCTCTAGATTTGTTTTTATTCTTTTCAGACTGATTTTGTTTCATTAAAATATCATGAATCTCATTGAACATAGTGGAACATGCTTATAATTTCATGTTCAGGAGACTGAGGCAGGAGGATTGGCTTGAGTTCAATGCCAGCCTGGGCTACACAGTGAGTCTAAGAGCATTCCGGCTACAATGTAAACACTGTCTCAAGAAACAAACAAAAGAAATATCCTCCCACAGCAATGAATACAGCCAAACAGGAGCGCTTCTTTTCAAGTTACTAATTTTACTGCCATCACTTCTTTCCCAAGGATTTGTGCACAAGCTCAATTCCAGAAAAAATTAAGGTAAAAACATTAAACATTCATTATTTTAACTGACGTCAGAATGACTGCAGAAAGGTACGATATGACTTAGAACAAGATAAAATGGAACGGCATCCCTGTCATGGTGAGATTCAGAAGGCATAACTTTTTTTAAAATCAGTATCATTCTCTTTTGCTTAAGGAATAAGTTGGATTTTAGTTCTTTCTTACATGGTATCAAGTTATTTGAGAGGCAATCAGCACATAGCTACTACAAACACTAGATTTTAAATGGCTGTATACTGTTCTATCATAAGGCAGTAACGGACTAACAAAGGTTCCATTTGTGGGCAGCTCAGTTGTTCACATTTTCACTTACGTTACTGGCGTCTCAGTGAACAACTTCACACATGCATCTTTGCATCCCCATGAACATTGGCTCAAGGAACCGTCTGTAATTAAGTACTTGATTTGTGCTCAGTCGCTTCCATTGTTTAGCTCTATTTTACACTTGATACTTTAAATATAGCAAATGGGAGGACTCCACAGAATTGTATAAAAAAATTAGTGCTTACCTCTATTGGTCTTCCACACAACTCTAGGAACCGAAACCTAATCTTAGACATGAAAATGGTAAGAAACTGGGTCATGGTAGCTAAGTATAATGGGCTGGTAGGAAACTGAGCAAGAGCAATGAATGCTGGGTAGGAAAGTAGTTGCTTGGTCCTCATCCCACAACAGCAGAATGGTCGGAGTCAACAAGTGATGACACCTCTTCTACTTGTCAAGTTCATGTGGACTGACCAATAGGGATGGAATCTCCTTGAGTGCTATGGTAATTGCACCTAGGTTAGTGGTGGACTTGAGATCTCAAATGTCTACCATGACTTTCCACTTTCAGCATCCACTTAGGCAAGGGGGGGAGGGAAGTTTTGCCAGATGGTACTTAAAGCCTAAGATAATGGAGAAGTGGGCAGGAAGGGGGGAGCATGACTGTGATGACAGAGGAGAATTAGCTAGCTGGGAGTCTTTCTGAGATACTGGTTCCCTTTCCTTCCATGGACACCTCTTTCATCTCTCCTGAACGTTTAGTTTGAATGGATTTTGTATAAAATGAAAAACCATCTTAGAGGTCAGTGCAGTGCTGCTAGAGTGTCCTTACACACCATGGTAGCTTTGCCTGTAATGTGGATGATAAACATAAAAGAAGCCCGTTGGTATATGACACAGATATTCTGCTCAGCATCTCACATCCCTCACAATGAGCAATGGTTGTAGTAGGCTCTTCCAATGAAACAAAAGACAGGGAAATATACTGGGATGTATTTCTAGGGGTAACTATTACTTTTGTAAGTTGGTATTTCTAGCTACTAGAAACTCAGTGCACTGTGTGCCCTGGAACAGAATGATTAAGCTGATTTCATATAATCAGTGTCCATGCTTCATATTTAATGGGAGTACTGCATGTCCTAAGCACAAATTATAAACAAAGCCTAGCCTTTGACAACTGGGCAGTTTCCGTCTGGACTGGCTTTACAGAACTCATGCATATGCCTCAGGTGCTGACTGAATGTCTGGGATGTGGAAAGCAGGGCCCCAGAGAGCTTTGAATATTTCTCTTAACTCTTTCTGTTCCAGGTAAGGGAGTTAGGAAGTGTGCCATTGTCCAAAGTCCCATGTAGTCGGACTACTGGGTATGCCACAGTACAGTTTAGATAGAAGAATGTGGGAGTGTCATAGTGTTCCAGTAATTGCAAGGGGCTGAGAGCCCCACTTTTCTAGATCAGGCTTGGCTGCTTGTGGCCCATTTAGAGGAGACTCTGCATTGGGTGGGTTACTCTTTCTCAGCCTTCTTGGGAAACTATGCCTGTAGCAATGCTCATGTACTCTGTGGGCACGCGGTGACACCTTAAGCTACACCTTGGACTTTCTCAAGATTGCTTCTGTGGCGACAGTCTTACCCAAGTGCCTCCTCTTAATGTTCTCTGGTTGCATGTGCAAGAGACCCCAAGTGGTGACTTTGATGTTTTCTCAAGTCCAAGACCACATAAATGGGCAGAGAGCATTTGAACACTTGGATTCAAGGTTACTTGAGGTAGATTGCGAATTTTATTACAGTAAGAATATAGATGGCTCTCATTATCAGACAAGGGCAGTTAAGGTAGCCTCTTGACTATTGGGGTCAACCTTGACATTTCCCAGATTTCTCTTTAAACCTATAATGACGCCCTCTATTATGGTAGCTCTTTTCTTGCTCTCCTCTATTCTTCCCGTAATTCAATCTTCCTGCTCTCTCCTGTCCTCCTCTCCCCTCCTCTTCTCCCCTTTTAACTCCTCCTCCCCTCCTCCCCTGCCCCCCACCAACCCCCTATCCCATCCCCTTTATGCTCCTTTGGGTGATCTTCAAAGTCTGTCATATCATTTGGGGCAGGGCCTAGTTCTTCCCCCGTGTGTCTGGTCTGAGAGAGTATACCTCTATGTGGAATGGGCTCCCAAAGTCCATTTGGGATTGGCATGTAAAACAAGCATGTTTCTAATTTACATTTTTTTTCTTTCTTTTTTTTTATTTTATTTTCCAGTTTAAATTTAGATAAGAAACAAGGTTGCTTCACAAGTCAGTTCCAGGTCCCTCTCCCATTCCCTCCCTTCCTCCCGTGCCCTTCCCCCCCCGTTATCCCCTCATTTCTCCAGGGAAGGTGAGGCCCTCCATGGGGGTGTGCATAGTGTGTCATTTCATATAGGGCAGGGCCTAGACCCTTCCCCAAGAGTTCAGGGTGAGAGTGCACCTCACATTGTTCTATGGGAGTCCAAAGTCCGTGTGTATACTTGGGATGGGTACTGATCTGCTGCCCAAGGCTCAGTAGATTCCCATTTTAAAAATGAAAAAAAAGAGTATAGATGACTTCCACTCCATATACTCCAACTGTAGGCATCTAGATCCGGCCTCTTAGTTCCACCCATGACTCTATAATTCCTGAGGCTGGTGAGTCCAAAGATCAGAGATGCCCAGAAAGTCAGAGAGTGCTGCTCCCCACTCCTTACTGTTTAAGTGAAAGTGGTAACCACTCCTCCCTCCTCCCACGAACACTCAGAGGCATCACCATTCCTACCATGGGCACTTTTGGAGATCCCAGAACCTTCTAGAAGGCCTTTGTTCTACTATAAATTTTGCATCCAAAATAGGGAATGATCCTACCTACATGCATGGATGGGAGCCCAGACCTTCTATTCTGGATTAGTTTCTAGACACACAAACTCTAACATCATCCTTTTAGAAATATGAGTCTCCAGTCTATAGTGTATCTGTGACTGTAACCTGCTTTTTTCCTACACAGCAGTAGTTAAATTATTTATTCATTCACGCACTAACGTTCTTTTCTACTACCCAGTATGCATGGAGTTAGCTCATTTCTCCTCTCCACCACCATATCCCTGGGAATCATCCATGCCTGGAACATAGTAGGTTCTAGCTACATTTTCCAATGAATGTACACACATATATTCAGCCACAAATATGAGCATATGAATACACACAAACACAAATATTTATAAAATTGCAAGTACGTATATGCACTCACAGATATGTGCATGCACACACACACACACAATGCACACACTTCTTCACTGATCCTTTCTATTTTAAGGTGATCAGGGAACTTGACACTTTCCCACATTATTGAAGCTGGAGGAATGACAGATTAGCGTAAATATAGATAGACAGACAGACACACACACACACACACACACAGAATCTCTTTAATTTGTACAACCTCTTGACTGGGTATTTTACTTTGTTTGCTGTTACAAGATGCCTGAGACCAGGTATATTTGGCTCAGAGTTTGGGAGGCAAATAGCTTATTGAAACATCAGCACTGGTGAAGATACTCTAGTTGATAGTCTCATTACACAAGTGTGTCCAAATAGGGAGACAGGAAACCAGGTAGCACCTCAGGGGTGGAGCACAATCTTGTATAATAGCTCACTGTCTTGATAAATGAACTTACACAGCATCTCAGGAGAACTACTATAATCCCTTCTGAGAGGAGCAACCCACCTTTTAATGATCTTACAACAGCACACTGAAACTTTACTGGGGACACAGTCAATGTGCAACCAACCTATGGCCTTGGTCATTCCACCAATGCCAGTTTATCCTAAGGATATAATCAAAGACACAAGCAAACATTTAGCTTCAAGGATGCTTAAAGATATGCTAATACTATACTGAAAAGTCAGTGATAATGTAGATGTTATAAAATTAGTAAATGTGGCAAATCTAAAACATGCTCTTGAACTATAAAATAATGTCATAGAATATATAATAGTGGCACAAAGATGTATCAT